GTTGGGGAGTGCAATTCAAAGAGTTCAAGAGGCTGTTGGCCTACTGCTTTATTTGCAGGAATCCTTCTGGCCATGGTTTCATGTGGACACCTTCACTTCTCAGTCAGTGCCCTAGAGGCAGAATGGACAGCTAGCTGATTGTAGTTGGTCCAGCTAGCTGATTGTAGTTGGTGGCTGCAAACCCTTTTTTCCAGGCTCGACATCACTGGTCGTGACATGTCGCGACACACTCAGCTTGCTTTCAACAGGTGCTTGCTTTCAGCGTGGCACGTGTTTGATCTCGAGATTGGCCTTGAACTTGTTCATCTCAGCTTGGTTTGAGGAAGATTGGTCTTGGTCAATCATTGTATGTCATGACTCCCCCGGACACCAAGCCAAAGCAGGTTTGAAACAGCATCCCTTACCCTGTGTTTCAACTTGCAAACACCTGATTCTGTACACTGTGCTCCGGAAACATTCACTGCAGGAATTCCACTTGTCATTGCTTTACATTGTTTCACCAATAGTCCATGATAGTCCATGTATCAGCTCACTTACATTCACTTACGCTTTCCCTGCAATGCTGGCGATTGCCGGAGACTGCCCTGTCTGGACCCCAAAAGACTAACCTATGTGTGTCTATGAGTTGGCTTGTCTATGAGTGTCTACAATGCAACCACCGCTATGAGTTGGTGAAACTTCTCAGCTGAGGCATGAACCTGGCCAAAGTCTGAGAATGGTCGACATGTTCATTTATGATATTCAAAGTCACCTATGTCAAACAGTTGGCTGCTGATGTGGGTGGTAAATAACACTGAGGGAGCTTGGCTTTTGGTAGCCACCGTCATCTCAGAGGCTGAAGTTTCACACACATTCATGAAACTGTGAGGGAACGTGGCCCTGCTAGATTTTATAGTAAAAAATTCAGTGAGAGGTTAAGCTATTAGTGGCTCCATTCCGCTCAAAAAAACCCAGTTTGTAGGCTCTGCCTCACCCATCGCCCAAGCTGACGACCAAACCTCAGAAGCACATGTTGGCACATCAAAGCTTGCAACAAGGTTGATGCAGGGTTGATCAGTCTAGATTGTTCCTGAGCCTGGCATTCATTCAATACCTCTAGATACCTCTAGCCTCTTGGTCTTGCTACCTGTGACCTTTTCAGGCTCGGAGTTTGGCCAGGGCAAGTTTTGATGGAGCGGCGACAGCCATGGACCAAGTTTATACCAAGAATTTATTTTGCTTGACCAATACACTTTCAGACTAAAGTCACTAACTAAAGGTAGCCCTTTGTTGTTGCGAAAGCAGTTGGACAACTGCCAGGTATTTTCGACGCCAGTCAATTGCATCATCAGCAAGCAGCTCAGTCCCAGTCAGAAGCAATGCATCTGAAAACAACACGGTGTCTGTAGTTCGTGATAGCACGGCTTGTGATGGCACTAGAAGAGCTTTTTGGAAGTCAATGAAGCCTCAGCAGTGTCCACAGACCATTCCGCCAGAGCCAGAAGAGGCAGGATCAGTGAAGGTCAAGTTTACAATGAACGGATTGCGTGGTTTCCAGCATACAGCTGATGTGAATGTGGACCTAGCCCTGGACAAAGAGAAAGCTGTTGGGGGTGCCATCTTGGAGCACCATAAACGCCCCAACTACAACAACCAGCAGAGACGATTACTGGCCAAGGGCCGACAGACTCATCAGCAGCTAGCCAGCAACTGTCTTGCAGATTGCTAACAATCAAACTTGTCGAGCTATATACATGTGATTGCAAATTGCACTTCCAAACTTGTGCTGCGACTGCCGTGTGAGGCAGAGTGTGAACGGTGCATCTACAGCTCGGTTGGAACATTTGCAGCATCTCCACCACTGCCGGTGCCATAGGAAGAATTGTTTCAGATGGTTGGGAGAGAAAATGGAGCTACTGAGCACATTCATGAACACCTTCTGGAAGATGTCCAGACCGAGACAAGACCTCTTTGCCTGGACCTCATTTTCCTCGATATTCCTCGATTCAGTTTTTTCCCTTCGATACTTGATGACCTTGGAAATGTGTATTTTTGGCAGCCCTTCTTCCTAGGTCCAGCAAGTCGTTGGCAGAGGCAAGGCGGTGCAGCGGAGACAGTGGTATTTGCTAGGATACCAAATGTCACCAAAGTGTGTCACTGCTGTTCTCGGTGTGGGAAACTCGAGAATGAAGCGGATCATTTCTGGTGGCCCCGATCGCCGCTATAGACTTTGGGGTGGCGTGCCTCGTCTTGTTTTTTTTGCAGGTTGAAACTTCGTGTGTCAAATCCTGTATTGTTTCGTTATGTTTCGTTCATTCTGCAACCAAGGGATCCAATAAATTTGGGAGGAAACAAAAGGAGGTGGACCTGTTTCTATTTGACATTTACAACAAGGCAGCAGGAATGCTTCCAGAAAAGTCTCTTGGCACATGAGTTGGTTGATATCTGGCTATTGGTTTTCAGATTCAACCCCAAACCCAAGAATTCTCCGAGCAAACAAATCGACAGGTTCCAACGAGCAGCTCATCAGCGAGACACTCCGCTGAGATCCCAGCCTGAAAAGCTTTCAGTTGAGCTTGCGCAGCCTGACCCAGGCACTGTTCAAATCTGGTTCACTTGGTCATGTCTTTGCATAGCTTTACGAAATCACAAGAAAACCATGAACTGAAAACGATGCTGTGAAGCACATACTCTCAAGTCATACTCCTCTGAAGGCTTCGAGTCTGATGCATCTGTGGAGAGTGACGACATTGGGGAGACTCTGTGTGTTGGGCATGAGTTGATCGAGGATGATGAAGAACTCAGAATGCACGCATTGGGTTTGAACAGCTACTACTCGAAGATTCTTGCACTAAACATGTGCATGTTGCAGCGCCGGTACACATGAATATCATATGAACTTGTCAATTTATTTGCTGTTCAATCAGGTATATAGAAACAGCAGGCTGTACTATGCTGACATCCTTACCCACCAGGGTTTTACAGCCGGGTAGTATCAAAATGCTTTGGCATCAATTTTGTCATGAGCGGCCAGCAGTCCAAGTGTCGCACCTCATCTTTCTTTGATATGATGGCAAAAGTTGTTTGTCAAGTGAGTGACTCTTGTTGTATGACATTCCTTTTTCAATAGCAAAGGTACATACACTTCTGGCGGCGATTCAAGGGACGCTGGTCAAAGTTGCTCAGATTTAGTCCTGCTTCGAGTCACGCCGCTTGTGACGACTGCTTGGAGTTCAAGGAGCTGTTCAAGATGGCGAAGGTGTCTTGCTTCCAGGATTGAAACATCAAGTATTTAAGGTAAAGTTAAGCCAGTGATTGTCATCATGTGGGCCCACTGTTGCTTTCCCAGTCTCCGCAAATGGCCTACGATGTGGCCAAAGAGTACAAAGAGCATGTGGACAGCATCAAGCGAGACCGGCAATTAGAGCAGTACCTTCAGGCTACTTGAAAGTTTGGCTACCTGTTTTGACAGCTGCCTTCCAAAACTAGTGCACTTGCTGTTGCCACTTTGGGGCGGGCTTGCTAAATGGACCTTGCTTCTGTGTTACTGCTATGTTCAGGCGCAGTGTCCCTTGCAGCACGACGGATCTCCTCTTTGCATCCATATGGTTTCATGGCTGAAATCATGTGCTTGATTCACTCATAAATTGAATTCTGCAAATGGCAAAATCTTTGTAAACCGGGCGCCTGCTGGCAGCAGGATGGCATGGACCAGGCCAAGTGGAGCATACCCAGAGATCGTGCAAACGTCACGCCCAAGGGCCTAAGCAACACACAACGGCCAAAGTTTAAAATACAGGCCTGCTGGCTGCATGGAACACTCCTCAAATTATGGCTGCTAGATCCGCGTCTACCAGCTGACGCTTCGAGTGTCTTGGAAACCATGACAAGGAGCATAGAACAGGCTGTCGCACTTTGCCAAGCAAGAAACAAGCCTGTACCGGACCAGCTCTTGTGCTGGGCTACTGGATTCGCAAAAAGAAAGACATGTTGAATGAAACAACTTGCAATTTACAACAACATGCCCTTTCCAAATCCTTGCCCAAAACTAAGGCTGACAATTGTGTCAGGGAAAACAAGAACAACTCGATTCTCAAATGGCTATCATTCGTTGTCACAACGCAGAAGATGAGGTTGAGTTCAGTGATGTATGGAAGGGTGGGTCACACCCACGGTCCGCTAGGTCTTTGGATGCACTAACAACATGACACAAACTTGTTTGAAGAATCACTGGGTGGTAGTGTGTTGCTGAATTGAAAAGAACCATTGACAGCCAAGACCAAATTTTCGGACTGCTGGCGGTTTCCTTCCGCTACATCGACATCTTGTGTGATGAACAAGATGTGTGTGAGACACTCAACTACTATTGATAGGCGCTCAACTACTATTTGTGTCCCGCTGACACCTAGAAAGTGTTCTTCTTCTCAACACCTAGAAAGTGTTCTGTTCTTTTGTTCTACGTTCAACGTTTCAATGGCCAACCCACCACACCCGAGGAAGCTTCGTCAAGTGCTGAACCGAATCGGTATAAGGGGATGGTTGGGCGAGGATGCAGTCATCGACGTAGAATATATCAGTGGTGTCAGAAACTTCAAATCTTGGTGTTTTGTCGCAAATCAAGAACACTGTTTTCCTGTTCAAGCATTCAACCAATTCAGTGAAGTAAGCACTTTCTATATATAGTTGTGCCATATCAATTTCATCAGCCCGCTCAGGTTCAACCAAGTGCCAGTGGTCTTCAAGGGAGGCCTTCGCGACGACAGCACTGGCTTGCACAGCTTCATGTTCATGTTGCGTCGAGGCTCTTTGGAAACCAACAGCAAAAAACAACTCCGAAACATTCCGAAACCAAGTCATTGCTTTACAGATTCCTTTTGCTTTGGGCTACTGTTTGATGTTAAATTCCCTGTCAGACCTACCTCACAATGTTGTCATTTCCGAGACTGGGCGTGGAGCTGGAGGGGAAACCCACCCACTGGATGTGATCGTTTTTTGTCAAGAGATTCGCTGCCGACCAATCAATGTGCCAGGACTTTGGTGAATTATGTTTGACTTATATGATACCAATCTACCAATCATGTTGTTTCGTGATTTATGATGGGTTGATTAGCTGCTTCTTCCATGACAGGAGGCTCAACTCTGCTTCCCGCACCGGTACTTGGCCTTCCTCGGACCGTGCCCGTCTGAGCCTAGGGACTTGAAAGCTCCACTCAAATCCAAGAAGCAAAGCTATCTTGAGATTGCCAAGTTTTTGCTTCGCAAACAGCCGAATGAGTCTACACGAAGGGCTTGTGAATTCATTTTGAAGATTTGCAACAATGAGCCCCCTCAGTCAGTTCCTCGGCTTCCTTGGTTTGAGAAGCCTCCTGTTCCGGAAATCGTGGTGGACCTAAAGGCACCATCTGCGTTGACAGCCCTTGCACCATTGATGCGTTTCAGCGCAGTCTTGCAGCGCTGAAAAATCTTACAGTATTCGACCGAGTATGCAAGCATATGGTTCTTAATCCTGTGTGACAAGCACCGGCTTTGGCTTCGTACATTTGTCGAGTCAAAACTGTGATCTCTCTGATTTCCTGCAGCTTTTTGGTTTCTGCTTGGGTCACCTACACCTCGAGAAGGCCTTGAAAAATCTGTCAACCAATCATGTTTCTCAAACTTGTGGTAAATGTTTTGAGGTGGTTGGAGGCCACATGCTTTCATGATATCATTCTAGTATCCGAGGTCAGTTCTTGTCCATCTTGTCTTGTCCACTTGAGTTCCACACAGTTGATGGCAGAATGAGCTCTCGATTGACAGGCGTTGGCTTCCTGTTCCTGATGAGCAATGCCATCGAGCCCGCCGAGAAGGCTTGCTTGACCTTCTCAGTTCATCTTCAATGTTTCCTAGACATCATAACACGGAAGGTGTTGACTGTGGTGACCCTAGAAGAGTGGCTCACTGCTTATTCTCCCTCATGGGAGTCTGACGACAGTGAGCTAGATCCTGACCAGGATTCCCAGGCCAGATTTCTTGCGATTTGATTTCAGGAAACAAGCACTACTTATTATGTACTCGTTATGTCGCACAAAAACATCATCACATCAATCATGTGGCATCTTGTGAACAGGTTCCTTTGAGGAGAATCTCTAAAAGGAGAAAGTTGGTGGTGGAGGCCAGGTTGGGCCAGACTCTGTCGAGAAACATCAAAAGTCATCAAAACAAGGATGCAATCAATGATACCTCAATCTAGTTCTCAACCCAAACCAGTTGTAACATCTTTGCAAGGTGGACAAGGTTGAGTCCAAAGATGGGCTTCCGGACCAATTCACTTCCCAGCCATCTTCTACCTCAGAGTCCGAGCCACGTTGGACTGATGCACGTGGCACAGAGGCTCTTTTTCTGGACTTGAATTCAGTGTCTTTTTGGAACATGTTTGATCTTTGTAACTATTGGTGTGATTCCTGAACACTGTTTTCATGAGTGTAACAATTGGTGGGAGTCCTGAACGTTTGTTCATGAGCCAGGTTGGTATCCAGAGAAATCTGGTAGAGGGACGGGGTCCTGAGGCCTAAGCTGTTCGATAGTTTTTTGATTGTTGATTGATAGTTATTCATTCTTGCCGATCCAATGCACGAAGCAACCCCAACGCTTGTGCACGATTTGCCTTGCTAGGTGCACAAGAGCTACCAAGATTTCGATGCGGAATCTCAGTGAGCGGCAGAAACATAATTTTCAGGAATTGACAACAGCACCAATTCGAGATAGACTGGGAAGTTGACATGCAGTGATCTTTTCACTGATGTCTCAATCATGGTTGGACAAAATACTATAAGTGTGCTTGCCTGCTTCGAGCAAGTAGAGATTTGCTAATATTCAGCATCTCTTGCAGCTGTTACTCCTTTGAGATACTTGTCAATGATTCATGACTGTGGTTCAAGGAAGTGCTTGTGCCTGACTCGGCCCGATCTTGTTGCACACCTTCTGAGGGTCAGGCATGGTATGCCTTCGAGATGCCGTCAAAGCAGTGCTTCGTGAGAAGCCACCAAAGAACTGCAGGCAGAATCCGTTGTCCATTTTTGCCACTCAACACAAAAGGAACAGAAGATACTTAACGCAAAGTTGTATGTACTGAGAGTGTGTTTAGATCCACAACCATATCAGGCCCACGAGCGTCAAAACTGTCAAGAAGCATTCTCTGAAGAGGTAGGACATACTATTGTTGCACAATTTTCCAAGAGCTCAAAGCAAATGCCAGTTCAACCAGATTTGTGTGCAGGACTTTCTATCCAAAGACCAATGTGCCCAAAGCCACAGCTAAGCATCCTGTGAATTTCCGGACGTTCCGCTCTACTTACAAATGGGCTTCTGTGTTCATGCAGAGTGCAGCCAAAAGATTTGGGGAAGCTTTTGTGCGCAAGGCATTGGCTTCTTGGAGCTGGTTCCTTTCTACGTGTTTCAGTGGCGTCGGCTGTGCAGAAATGGTGAGAGCCTGAGATCAATGGATCTTTAATTAAAGTTCATGTCATTAGTCAAAGTGGCTCCATTTGAGGCTGCTCTCAGCCTTCAGTCAGCTGCGAAACAGTTTCTGCAATCACATGGCGGACATCAACTTGCCATGAGGGACCATGTGGTTCTGACTTCCAGCTGTGAAATCAACGAGCCCTGCCGTTCAGTGCTTTCAAAGACGTATGGGCCTGTGACAGGTGGCAAGCATTGTGTATTTCCTGACATTTTGAAGATCGATCGCAACAAAGGGTCAACCTTTTGCCTTGCCCACCAGAAGATGTGTCCGCTGAAAAGGCATGGACAGAAACGACCCTCAGCTGAACAACGTTAGAATGCTGCTGAGACATGTTGATTCAGAATCTTAAAGCATTTGTTCAACCTGATTGCATCTTGCTGCTATTTCTCCCACATTTCTAGCTGCTATTGCTAAGGGCTCAAAGTCAATGTGTCAGGTTGACACCTCAGTTTTTCTGTTTGTTGTTTCTAAGATTTTCCGAGCGTTCACAACCGCAATCCTTGCCCAAGGCCCGATCTGTGTCCCGTTCTCAATGATGGGCCGACGCAAGAAGACAGCTGACCCATCCTTTGCAACACATGTTTCATTCTTTGAAAACATAGCGGTGGATCAAGATTGCAACATCATCGAGAATGTTACGGAATATGATGAGCAAATTGTGAAGGATGCCCTTCCTGCCTTCTCAGTCACAGCTGTCAAGGTGGACCCGCGGGTCTTCGGCCTTGGCGTTGCCAGAGCCAGAATTTACATCATCGCCATTCGCCGATCCAAGCTTCGCTGGAAGCCAGGGTTTTGCTTGGAAGACTTCATGGATTCAGTGACAGCACAGGTCACACTTCAATCTACAGACTACTTCTGGAAGAAGCTGCCTCCTCAAAATCTTTCTCGAAGTGATGACACCAGGTTGCAAAATGATGGCATGAAGACTTTCACATTTCAAGGCTTTCAAGGTGTCCTTGGTGGTATGGGATAAGCAGTTTCCCACCATAAGGGGGGCATGCAACAAATCAACCACCCCACTGTCCACTGCTGTGATAGTTTTGATGGAAGAGATGGAACACACATCGATTCATTACATCCCTTCATATCCTTTCCAGAACTTGAGCTCAAGGATCAGAACTTGAAGGATTACCAGGGCTCGCGCTACAAGCATATGGTGGACTTATCGCAGCTTGCGAGAAACAACCGCGGTCGTGGGGAAACTATTGACAATGCGGTTCCCACCTTGACGACGAACTCTGGCAAGCTCTACAGTTTCGCAACATGACTGGAGAATCAGTGTCAATCAGTGTTTGTGTTGAGACTGGTTTGACAAAGGGTTGTGTTTGATGAATTGCCCGAAACACTTGAACCTGGAAAGGTCAAACACTCCAACCAACCATTGTGCCTTGCAGGCACACAAGCGCTGCCTCACCGGAGCTGAGCTGCTGGCATCTCACACTTTGCCCACAACACCTGCCCAGGCGAAATGGGCTGGCACCCCACAGCTGGCGCTGGATTCTGTGAAAGAGACCAACCAGGTGTGCATGAGTGGGAATGCTATGAATGTGCCCTCAGTGGGCTGCATCATTTTAGCGTGTGTGTTGGGTTTGGAACAGATTTGAAACAACAGCATTTACAGCTGTTACAGCTTAGCTAGCGTAATTCGAGATCAAATCAGCTGACTGCTTTTGGAACTTGATGCACAGAAATCATAGCTACAAAGGCAGCTGAAAAGGCAATTTGGTGCCTTCAAAAAATTCAATGCTAGGTCCTACGGCAATCCCAGTTTCTCGAAATCGGAAAACACTGGACGGAACACACAACTGTTGTTGGAAGTGCTCTCACATGCATGACTCCATGACCCTCACACTGATTGTTGCCATGTGCTGGAGCATTGTTGATGTTGGAACCTTGTAACATTGTATGTTGATAGTTTACTGCAGATTTTTGTTCCATGAGTGCACCCGTTGCACGCCGCACTGGTCTTGATGACTAAAAGACTGGTGCCTTCTGGCCCCGCTCTGCGGCGTGCTTTCAAAGTTGCGAAGCACGATGACCACCATCCTTGGGCCGATCGCATTTTGGAGGAAGCAAGGCTGGGAGCTGACACCCAGTTCACAACAAGTTGGACTATCACTAAGCAGGTCCCAAATATAGTGTTTCAAGCTTCCTTACACTGTTTTCTTGGCAGCAGCAGCTCTTTTGTGGCTTCACACCCACACAGTCTTCTTGCAGTCACAAACTAGACAGTGAGTCATTCAGGTCAAAGTGCTATGATTGTGTTTTTTCATTACATCCCTTCATATCCTTTCCCTTCATGTCGTTTGAACGGTTTGAGGTTCCCATTGCCAATCTTGGAGGGTTGGAAACTCACTGTGCAATGGAAACCCAAGAGTCTGTATGATAGCTACAAGCGCCTTTCGCCAGGGGATTCGATCCAGAACAAGGAGACCATCCTATGCAGTTTTGCTTGGCGAAGCAAGGTCCTGCTGTGTGTGAGCCGCTGAGCACATGGCTGAATGGGATCTCCCCTGGAACTGCAGCAGATGTCTCTACAGTGATCCTTCCAGCCTCTCAGTTAACTCAGACTCACACCTACTGTAACAGGTGACTCTTCTGGACCCACCCAGTTGACCCACCCAGCTGATCTCAGAATTGAACTGGTAAAAGCTAGATGCCTTGTCATTACAGCAGTAGCTGGCACTGGCAAGTTCCAAGCACCTCTGAGGCGACCGGCGGTGCGGAGCTCCACAGTGTGCCGTTCCTGGCAATGACTTTGCTGAAGCCGTCCGATGGCTTTCCCCTACTCCAGGATTGGCTTACCATAGCCACTGATATTTTTCATCAGGGCTTTGAAGGATGGAGGGAGTGTGTAGAAGTCCGATGTCTTGATGGTTCATCTTTGGGAAAGCCACTACAGTATGCGTGCCTGACACCTACGAAAGGCATCACCCGTTCCAGCATCATTATGTTTGGGATCCTCTTCACCTTCTACAACTTCAAGGACAAGATGACTGATGAGGAAGTGAATGACTTCTCAAGGCCAGCTGAACAGTTTTCAGTTAGACCATGAATGTCAATGAGCCTGCCTTTTCATCATGATCTTGTGGGCTGACCCTAAGAACACTGACTGATGATTTTACAGGGGTTGAACCTAGGCAAGCAAAAAGCTCAAGACGAGGTAAGAATCTTTACGTGATACCACCAAACACAAACTGCTAGATGCAGCACCAATCTCAGTGCAACTGATCACCAATGAGCCCGAACTAGTTGCACTTGTGCAACTGCTTTTTGTAGGCCTCTCTAATGCTGCAACCCATTGCATTAGATGCACTTTGCAACCCAGAGTTCCACTAGATGCACTAGAGTGCAACTACTTCGCAGCTAGCCGTTTGGGTTTTGCAGTATTATTGGGAAAATGGCAGTTGGGATCATATGCATCGCCTTGTACAGCTTTCCCCCAAAGAGCTTCAAAGGTGACCTGTAGCCTGAAAGGGTCGTCTTGTTGCACAATTCCTGGCTCAGTCATGACCCTGCAACTTGATGCCAGGGATAGATTCTGCAAGGCATTGGTTGGTAAGATTGCAAAATATGAAGGCCGACTGCCAAATGGCATACCATGTCATATCTGGGGGCAACCCACCAAGCTCTAGATCCCAGCTTAGAAGGTGACCTTCTTAGGCTGCGGGTCGCCTTATGTTGTGTTTTGTAACTAAAGCTTAAAGGTGATGCATTTAGCTCCCCAGCCCTGTTTCCAGCCACCAGGGTACCGGGTATGGATAGGGTTCAAATACCTCATACTGTGCAACATTGTGCAACTGATTGACAGACTGCATATAGCGGACCTTTTGTTTAGTGGAGTGCATATGGCTAGTGCAACTACTACATGGTTTGGGGTGCACATGCAACTCTCCAATGCCATTTGCAATGGTGTGTGTGCATCTTGTTCCCACCATTAGTGCATTTGAATGCCCAAAGGTGACCTTTTCCCGGAAAAGGTCGCCTTTTGTCAAACACCAAAAAGGTCGCCTTTTGTCAACACTCGAAAAGGTCGCCTCCGTTTCAGGTGGCTGAAAAGCCTTTGCTCCTTCCGGGTGAAGTTGATGGTTGATCCAATTCCAGAGCTGGACTTCCGTCGGCTACAAATCCATGAGCAACAGGCGGAGAAGCAGCGGAAGAACCCACTCCAGAAGACCATGATTTTTGGACGTCGAGCAGCTGAGCTGGTATTGTTGGAGCCTGGGCTTGATGGTAAATGACCAACTTAACTAGTGGTGAAACATTGGTCGGAGCTGCCCATTCCCTTTCATTGCATTCACCTCTCCCTGACCAGGAAATAAAACTTCTGAAGTGATTTGTATGTCATTATCTATTGATGATATAGATCATGGACCAATGAGGGTCCCATTCTATCCAACAGCGTGTCCGCCCAGGATCCATCCATCGACTCCCGGACTGCCTTCATGTCAGCAGTCGCTGAGTATAACTCCTATGGCAGTGCAGCGACCAACCAGAAGTGGCAAATAGATGAAACGAGTGCATCTCAAATGTACGGTTTCAAGGCAGGTTCTGATTTGGACTTGGTGGTTAAATAGCAGCATCCAGATAACAAAAAGAGTCTAGGACATTTAATATCATAATGTTCAAGAACACAGCACATCGGGAGGTTGGTGTGGCACCAGCTGTGTGGAGCATGATTGAGAAGCACCTGCACCAACATCGCTTTGTGGAATCAGGCGGGGTTACTGTAACATACAGTAGATGTTGGAACCTGCTTTGTTGTCAAGAGTCCCAGTTGAGTTGTCTGTGAATGTATGAGCCCCCCTGCCAGCTTTCACTGTGGCCACATTGACATCCCAGCGATGGCTCTTGGATTCTTGCCCTGATGGGGTGGACAATCCCTTTTGGCACAGCGTTCTCAAAGTGTGCCCAAACAAACAGGAACTGTTCATGCATCGTGTCTTGTTCCTCTTCCAGCGTGCCTCCAAACGAAGCACTCGGGCAGCTGCTTGCCGCCTGCCGGCGTCAGAATGGAACAACGAGCTTGACCGCATGTGTTTGGCCTACTACATCATGGAGCAAATGGAGATGGCTACCACCCAGGACGAAGACAGGATGTTTGATGACGATGTGATGAAGACAGTTGTCAAGCGTACCGTTGATGGGAACCTCAGCCTGATAAGTCCAACTGGCCCTGGTGTGCTATTGATATTTGAATGTTACTATTGAATGTTATTGATATTTGTGATATAGTCTGAGCTAACTGCTTTCTCACCTGTATCCAGTTTTTCCCTAGGGACTACACCACCGAGCTCACAGCCCTGCTGGTAATGAAGGATGGTGGCTTTCAGGCTCACCACACAGATATGTGGATTCTCCATTGCACTTACTTGTGAAGTGGGCCTCGTTCAGTTGAACGCTGCTTATCATAGTGTGAGTGGTTAATGTTTACCAATTCCTTGGCAAGTCTAAGGAAAGAACATATGCCTGCTGCTGCTCCGAGCAAGGTGACCTTTGATCTTGTGGACCAACGGCTGGAAACCATGTCGAAAGACAGTCGCAAGATGGCATTCGACGCTGACTGCCTCAAGCTCACCAGGGATGTGGCGCAGCTTGGACGGCTATATGATGAGGAGGCAAAGAATGCCAGGAGCAACCGCTTACAGCGTGTTCTTCACCTCAAGCATCAGAACTGCTTGGGGGGGAAAGGTCGTGAGCAGCTACATGGATATGAACATGCGCTGCGTTTCTGGCAAGAACCCTGATCTGGAGACAGCTGCTGAGAAGGCCTTGTGATGACTGGTGGGTTTTGTGCTTGCAACAGGTTTGAATTGTTATTTAATATTTACTGTTTGTGTTTGTTATTAAAAATAAACCCACCCTTCCGACTCACTTCTTTTAATGTCCGCTGCAGTTCATCAAAGACCTGGGGGAGCACGAGAAATTTGCTGGCTATCTCGTGTGGCTCGACTACACCAAGTTCGGCAAGTTGACAGGTGGTGAGCTCAACGATACATGCTCGCTGATGGCATCCATATTGGCCAGAAAACCGACTAAATCAGCTGGCATCATCATCGCGCCTTTCCTTGTGTCTGATCGTGTTTCTGGCGGTTCTCGTGGAGAGATACGGCGGGGGGGTTGGTGAAAAGCTGATACTAGCAATACCTACTTTGAAGTAGTTTGAGCTTAAAGAACTGGATGACAAGCAGTCTGTGTTTGTTTACTTATGTCCCCTGCAGTCGGATAGAAGACAAGCTGGACGCTTTGAATGTGCAGACAGAGTCGTTCACAGTACGCATGGCACCAGCTCCAGGCCAGAAGAAGGTGCCTCTACAGTTTCAGGCTTGGCTTTGCATCCAAGAAGACACCATGACTGACAACATCTTCATCACCTCGCAGCTCTTGACTGACAAGCAGCGTGGTTCAATCATATGTTTCTAGTTGTTTTTGAAGATGTTTCAAGGTTCTCATAGCCCAGATGAAGATGTCAATGTGGATTGCTAAGAGTATCAAACATTCCATTCAACATGTGGGAATTGGAATGTAATGTTTTTGAAAGGTCCACCCGCACCAACATCGAATGGCTTCCTGAGAGCTCCTATGTGGTGCCAGCAGCTGCAAAGGACATGACACCATCTTCCGCTGAGACAAGGCCTAGGTTTGTTTCCCATTTGTTTAAACCTGAAATCTAATCGTTGTGTCATCAATAGGTATAATTATTACATATAATTACAGTCACAGGGCCCGCCAAAAAATGCAAGCCTCCAAACTCCTGACCAGGTCGATGTCGCCATTCCAGGAGAGCGCCCAATACCTGGCAGGAAAAGCAGCTCCACAGGAGATCCTCACCAGTTTGTTTGTAAAGGTGGACATCCCTGCGGATGGTGTTGTTGGCCTATTGAACCTCAGCCCCTACGACACCTGGTTGGAGCTGACAGCTCACGAGTGGCCGCTCAATCACGCTGTCCGTATGCCAACCCTTTCTTTGTCGAAGTCATTGCAAATCATGGAGTACTGCCAACGATCTCTGGCTTTGAAGCTTCTGGAGGAGATTTGATGATTTTGTTTACCAGTTTTCAGCCACTCCACCTCAGACCCGTTTTTTAAACATAATACCTAACCAGCCAACCAAAATACTCGGTCTCTGTCCTGTTTCACACTATCTCTCCAGGACTGGAAGCGTGGACATCACTTGATGGGTTCCAATGTCGAAAAGTACACGCCGCAGTTCTCAAGTACAGAGGTGGACACCAGCAAGTTTCCTTTGCAAGTTGTCAAGCTGGACACTATCCCTGGAAAAAGTGGCTGGTCCAAGTACAAGGTGACACTGCCCCAAAGCTTCCGGACACTCCATTATGGCGACATTCTCTATGGTTCAGAATGGCGGGAGCTGATCTCCGACTTCGACAAAAGGCCTTCTGGTCGTTCATAGTCTTGGGTTTTTTCTCAACACTGTGAAAAACATTGAGTAGATCAGAAAACTTTTGTTTTATTTGCTTCAAACCATCAAATGTTGGTAGCTTGTTAATGTCCTGGTGGTGCTGTGCAGGTTTGAGGGAACCATGCTCTCCGACACCATGTCTGCATCCGGGGCTCCTGACACTGTGGCAGATACCACGTGCAGCTTGCCAGCCTGGAGCGAGCCCACCACGATGGAGGCGCTGATGGAGCGCTATGTGGTTGAAAACAAGTTCTCAGGGAGGACACCAGGCACCACCCTGTATCTGGTGGAAGCGAAAGACAAGACAGGAGCTGTGCATGAAGCTGAATCCGACCAAAGGTATAAGCTTTTCCTCGTCCATGTCCTAGATACTCATGACTTTGTGTGTCCAAATCATATCTTTGGTTTTCGATTGTTTTTGACATGTGAATACTGGGTCTCATCATCATTGCTCCCAAAGACCTTCCATACCCTAATTGCTAAGGTCGCACACACACCTGTCGGTATCCCCATCAAGGAGTTCCAGCTGGGGCACGGATCTGCCAAGTTCACAAACGCTCAAAAGGTGGCGGTTCTGAAGCGTGAGGGATCAGGCGAGCCCGCCGGTTTTCCTTGTTTTTGCACATGTATATCGTCATCCTCTAAGTGCTTGGGAAGCATTGCCGCATAGTCCATGGCTTGTGTTGACCAAAGTTCAGGATCAAGGTCAGTGTCACTTAGTTGACCCGTAGCCCCTTGGTTTGTGACACCTGGCAACACAGCCTCATGGTGAACCTGAGCCAACTTCTTGCTGATCATGGTTTTAACCAGGACAGATTTGAATCACTTTTTACACCAGTATTTGAAGGAACAATCCGAGACATTATGGTGTCCCTTCTTGCAAGTACAACGTCAGGATTTTGACAGGGTGGCATCATCAGACCCTGCGATGCAAGAGACTCCTCCTCCCCGTGTTCTAGACTTAGTTGTTCAATCCATTTCAAAGATGTGCAATCCAATGACAGCATATTAAGTTCAACTTTGCATCGACTGGGCCAATACATGATGCCTTCATTCGTGCCCAGCGCCCAGGTCAAAACTACATCTCCGCCATCTTCGAGCACGCCAGCTCCCCCGCCGAGGAACGAAGAAGGCGTCGTAGTGGAAGCAAAGGAGGAGGCTACCTTGCAGGAGGTGGCTGAGGTTTCTAAGTCCCTGCCGATGACATCAGCTGTAAGTAATGAGAAGACAAACCCGACTATTCCCACCGAGGAAGTGGATTCCTTGAGCCATCGCCTCAAAGAATCTTTGGAGGTCAAGAGGGGGGAGGCCCAGAAAAGAACCAAAGCCAAATGAAGAGGATGCAGGTCCAACACCAAATGAGCCTCCAAAGGTTCCAAAGGAAGAGAAGAAAGCTGATGAGCAGGAGGAAGAAGGCAAGGTTGAAAAACCAAAGATTGGTGTCGCTCGTGCCATTGGCAACCATGTTGGCAATGCCAACCAGCAAAAGAAGACAGAAGAGAAGAAGAAGAAACAAGACAAAGATTCAAAGAAGAAAGGATCTCAGGCGAAGACAAAAAACAGCCAAGAAAAAGAAGATGTCGGAAGAGGAGGACTCGCTGGACAGTGACGAAGAGATCAACGGGTCACAAGACTCACAAGATGGAGACGGAGATGATTCAGAGGAAGCGGCTGCTGATTGTGTCAAGCCAAGACGCCTATCCAAAGAATTCAACAAAGCTTCCAGCAAGGCTGAGGAAAAAGGCAGAAAGTTCAGTGGGACTGGAAAGAAGAAGGACCCAAAAGCACCAAAAGGGAAGACAGCCAGTGAGGATGAGGGTGAGAATATGGAAGCTGAAGAGGCCAAACTGAAGCAGCAGAAGGGAAGAAAGAAGGACCAGAAGGTGACAAAGGAGGAGACAGGAGCTGAACATGAGAAGTCACAGGTTGCAAAGACACGCAAGAAGGGTGAAAAAAGACCAGGAGAAAGAGCGACTAAAGAGTGGCAAGCTCAGCGGAGCAGGCAAAAGTGGCAAAGGGATGACTAAGACTAAGAGGGATGAAGAGACAGCAGCGCGAAAGAAGAGGTCCAAGAAGGATGTCGAGAGTGACAAGAAAGGCGATGATGAGGATATGGAGGAGGAAGAAGAAGAGGAGGCAGCAGACTACGAGGAGGAGACAGAACTTGAAGATGATGAGGAGGATTCAAAGAATGAGAAGAAGGTTGCAAAGGAAGGGAAGAAGAAAGAGAAGCAAACGCTTGGCAAGTCCAATAGGCGACAGAAGCCAAGCCCTGTGCAGAAAGGGGATGATGAGGAGAAGGCAGCAGCAGAAGAGAAGGAAGAAGGGAAGCTGCAGAAGAAGGCGAAGAGAAGCAATGAGGCAGGAAAGAAGGAGGCACACAAGAAAGGCGAGGATAATGATGAGGATGCTGAAGAGAAGGAGGAGAAAAAGAGGTCAACCAAGCCTCCCAAAGGAAACAAGAGGCCGAAGCCTGAAGAGACAGCTGAAGCCGAGGAAACACAAGTTGCAAAGAAGGCCAAGAAAGCTAAAATGGATGACGAGGAAAATCAACCAAAGCGTGGCAAGTTCAGCGGAACAGGCAAAGCGATGTTGAAAGATAAGCAGGCAAAGGCAGGAAAGCAGAGGTCCAAGGAGGATGGCCAGAAGAAGGAAGATGAGAAGCCTGCAAAGAGATCCCAACCGAAGGATGATGAGGATGAGACGGCAGCAGAAGATGAGGAGGAGACATCGGAGGAAGCTGCTGACAAAGAAGGGCAAATTAATTTGAAGAAAAGAAAGACTGATAAGGAGGAGGCAGCTGCAGGTGAGGAGTCTAAAGCTGCAAAGAACCGCAAGAAGAAGACTGAAGACAAGGAGGAAGAGGCTGAAGAGAATCCAAAGAGTTCATCACATGGCAAGAGAGCTGATAAGACAAAGACAGGAAAGAAGATGCAGAAGAGGGAGGACAAGGAATCAAAGGAAGAGGGTGAGGAGAAGGAAGCAGATTCCGAGGAAGAAAGTGAAGAGGAAGAAAAGGAAGCCGACGAAGAAGAGGAAGCTCCTGCGGGCAAAAGGAAAGCTTTGGGAAAGAAGACGAAGGCATGGGTGTTCTCTTAAAAGCACAGCCACTTTGGAAACTGAATTGCGAAAGCTGCCTAAGCAATACTCTAAGCAACATCTTTGTTTGGAGGGTCTCTCTCTACCCAAAGCCTCCCTGTGCCAGGGTGATGTGATGAGGGATTCATTCCACCAGTTCATCAAGGAGAAGATGAATGCTCTACGTGTTGAACACCCGGAATGGTCTGGGAGAGATGTCTTGAACAAAGCCAGGGAGGAGTGCAGGCCCCAGCCACTAGTCAACCTAGACATCCATATCCCCCAGTGCTTCGACAGTCAACCAGACCTGAAACTGCTTTTGGCAATGATATTTGCGCAGATATCTTTTCACTCCATGCTCTCAGGTGGAAGGTGTCTGAGACCCGTGCGAACTCCATCCGGAACATGTCGCAAACCCAGCGCTGCCGAAGACGCCTGAAATGAGCAGCGCCGGCGACGTGTCTTTTAGGATCTTTTAGGTTTTGCCAGCACCAAGCCACAAGTTTGGTTTTCAGTATTTTTTCAGCAAAGTCAATGAAATACCCACTCTCCAAACAGTGTCACTTCAATCATCGATGGGCTGGTGCTTTCGTGGATTTGGGGAAGCTGGAATTGAGGTGGCCAACCATTTCACCCAATTCAATCCAGCTGGAAACGACTAGTTCTTAGCTTGACAGTGTGAACACTGTCTGAAGTGAAGCCATCAAATCTGGGGCCTGTTGAGACGTCAAAAAAATGTGGTTTGACCAGATGTAGATGTGAAACACTCTCACAACTGTCTTGAAGCATCTTACAGCATTGAAACTGATATAAACTGATGTTCTTTTGGACTACCTACAACCTTGGACATGCAGGTGAAGGTGACTACCTGAAGACATGTGCTTGGACAAGCGACATGGAACGAGTTGTATTGGAAATGCCCAATGAATCTGGAAAGGGCACAAAAGATTCTGAAGTTTCCACCATCAGGGAACTCTTACATGAGATGGAAGAGGAAGAAGTGATTGATGTGACCCTCAACGGTCACCAGTGCTCTCGTGCACCTGCCTGCGGTGATGGCTCAGCAAAAGCTGACAGCCACAGCCTTAGGATTCTTCTGAGACTTGCTATGATTTGCACAAGTGTGAGCATCTTTCAAGTCCTGGCCTTAGCCCAGGTTCAGATTTCTTTGTGGTTGAGCCGAAGCCGACACCAATATACTTCCAGTGGTCCCCTCCGTCATTGACAAGTACTTTGAAGTGGGCTTCGCTGGCTAATGTCTTCACTGAGAAGGTGTGCACGAACCTCTTTGATTAATCAACAAATTGAAATGATGTGATACTTCTCTTTATCACCAGGAGTTGGCAGCTTCAAGAATGCTCTGCCCTGTGTGGCGTGTAGCCTATCTGAAGGAGGCTAATGCGCCTGTGCTGCAAAACACAATGAATTCAACAATAGTTCAACCGTTCCACAGCCTCAATGACAGTCACTGTTGTGATTTAAGGAGTTAACACCTCGCAGCTTGACTGCAAAGCAGCCATGTGCCAGCAACCCTCGAGCAATTGAAGTTCCAACATTCATCGGACAGGCCCTTGTCTCATTGCTCTTAGGCAAACCTCTCTATTTCATCAAGAACCGGAGCTCAGCAGAACTGGCCATGAAGACCAACGAAGCTTTGAGATTGGTGTGATGGCGCACCTGGATTTTAGGGAATGAGTTCCTGGGTGTTCCTCAATGCCTCTAAAGTCGATCTCCAATGAAGACTTTCCATAAAGTCATGAACAGTGTTATAAACATATTTGATGATACTGTATATCACCTTTGGCTCGTTATGCGCCCATGGGAGGGAACTCAAGTCCGCTTAGGGCCAGGCTGAAGAGCGCAATGAACGCAGCCGTGCAAGAAAGCATTGGTGCTGTGTGAAGTGAAAAGAAAAAATACAATGTCGTGTGTAGATAGTTTGGAAACACTTTGAGTTGACAAATGTAGCTTGCACATGCTTGCACACTTCTTTCATTGTGTCTGGCTGTGGCTTAAACAGACCAGTGCCAGCTCATCTTTGGGTGGGGCGAGGTGCGTCGGCCAGCGAGGTGCATCAGCTGAATGAACAACTCATCACTTGCTTTCCATCTTGTGGTCAAAAATGAGTCTCACTTATTGCCGAGGACCTGACATCACAGTTCACAGTGCTGGCGATCCAGCCCATCATGAAGCTTTGTCCCATCAGGCTGCTACTCGATGTTTTCTTTTCATTGAGACGTTATTGTTTCCTTCACAGTGCACTATTGATGGTGTCACAACATGATGACAGCCAATGACATTTAGATTTGAACAGTGAGCGTGCTTCCAAAACATGACACAAGCTTGCAGTAGAAGCTATTGAACTTTGGAAGGTGTGAGATCTCTACGATGTGATGATCAATCATCTGCTCGGTCTGGAACCTTGGCTCCAAACATGTTATGCTTAGATTTGCCGGGGTTTGCCGGGGTTCGCCGGGTTTGCCGGGGTTCGCCGGGTTTGCCGGGGTTCGCCGGGGTTCGCCGGGTTTGCCGGGGTTCGCCGGGTTCGCCGGGTTCGCCGGGGTTCGCCGGGGTTCGCCGGGGTTTGCTGGGCTCGTCGGGTGTTCAGGTGCGTTCAGGTGGTTCGCACGACTAGATAGTTTACGCACCTTAGACTATGCATGACATAGTTACAATATGTTACAGTATGTAAGGCACCAAAAAAGTGAAGGAGCATGCGCACTCTCATTTGCTCATACGCACTGGGGACCAATTTCAACAGATTCAGTGCGGGTTACAGCCACTAAGGAAACATCATTCTTCGTTTCAGCTGGTGGGCAAAAAGTGAAGCAGCACTGTGCAGCTTTGCAGTTGCATTGCAGTGCCAGTTTGTGTTGCGCAAGTGGAACCCCTCTTGAATGTTCGGCTGAGGCCCGACTCAACATTTTTTTTGCATCGCAACAAAGCAGGACCGAGCATAATCTGGTGATTCCCATGAGGTCTATTTTTAAGTTACGGACTTGTAGGATGTGGCTGCCCTTGGAGTTCCACTATGTTCCACTGATTGAGGCAGGACTGGTGGGGCAGGACTGGTGATTTCTGCATTGTGATACTTGGACTTTCTTTGCACACTTAGCTCTTGCTTTCCCGCTTCAGCTGGAATTATCATCAAGCTAGTGCTTTGGGGCAGCCCACTGCATGGTATGTTTTGCAAACTTTTCAACCCCTCCAGTCTCTCCAAAACTTGGCCTCTCACTCTTGAAACTTCAAGTCAACAACAACTCAAGCTGACGCAGTGCACTCCCTTGCTCCCTTTTCACTCCACCAGGGGTTCTGTTGCTTCAACATCCCTCCGTGTAGTGTGCCTGTGGAACCCATGCCGGTACGTTCCAAGTATATGAACGAGGAGGTTCCAGGTAAAGGGCAACCTGGTCGGCGAAAGGCATTGCAAAGCCTCTATGAGAGGAACAGTTACTGGGGCAGCAGCATCAGCAGCATCAGCAAAAGCAAAATTGCAAACATACTTGATGAAAACCATTGTGAGGTGCTATGTGTTACTCAGTGTTTCCAAGATTTTCCAAGGACCAAAACGCCATCGCAATAGGAGCAAAGGTATGAAGGACAAGGAGGAACACCCAGCTCTACCTTTGCCAGATGTCAACGATGATAATTCCAGCGAAGCAGCTTCAAGGGGTGATTTGAAGCTTGGGGGGAAGGTCCTGCCATCTATGCTACAAGATGGAAGAAACCTATGTTCACCAAATCTATGAGTTACGTAACTTGTCAATTGAACTACTTTCATGTGCTCGTAACTCGCCTACGTGACTTGTGACTATGTTCACGTACTCTCTTTCAGGGTTGGGTTGACTTTCAACTTACTCCAATCAACTCTAAGGTGAGCAAGTCCGAGAACTGGAGAGAGCACTTCGGTTGAAAACTGATGATGTGAAGGATTGGCAGTTGAAGGTGACAAAGCTAGAAGAACAACTCTTCTTCAGAAAGCTGTCCCTATAACGGTGCCATAGGGTAAAAAAAGGTGAGCCACTTATTGCACTAACGGTGCTGAATGTTCCTTGAACATTGAGGGCTTGAAGATTTGTTTTATTCTGTGTGGCAGTGTGCAGCGTGACTGCCAGGCCGGGCAAAGATTCTGAGTGGTCCCTTCTGTCATCTTCTGTCCCTCTCACCCGGACTTTGAAGCAATTGCTGAAAGGAAGGAAAAGTGTCGTCGCTTCAAGTGTGAAGTGTCCTGATCAACTCAACAAAACCACATCTATAGCACTCGAATGTAATGGTGTGAGACCCAAATGTAAGGAAATTGCCTT